GCATAATTTCTCTCCAGATCTATACGATGGGTCGCATTTGTTGCCGTTTTAATACTACGATTCGTCGAATAACGAGTACCAAAAGAAAAGAACGTACTTTATCCACCGCACTGAATCGTCGACCTTCTTCCGGCATTTGCTGTTGGATGTCGGCCGAAGAGAATATCGGTTCAAGGTACATCCACGTCGCTTGAACTTGTAGCCAATAATCCATGATGTCCAACAGCAAGAGCAACTTGGACTCCCATTCTCTAATCGCAAACGTGTATCGACGTGGAATCGATCCATGGTGTAAAGGCAATACGGACGAATATGAGGGAAAACGAATTAGAAAAGCTAGAAAACCGACCAACAGAAACGAAGCGAACGTACTTACAACGTCTCCTTTTCAAATGGTCGAATGTACAGAGAATTTTTCATGGTTTGAGCTTTGGTCAAATGATCGTCCAGAAGCAATTGTATATCGTCGACGCTCGCAATCACGTATGTACCCGTATCGCGATAGGGATTCACTGTAAATCTGACGTCTTCCCAATCGAGGTACATTCGAGAAAGAGCTTTCTCCAGACTACCCTCCTTTGCAGACGCTTCCGATATTCCTTCGAATTTCGTGACATAATCTAGCAAACCGTAATCGAGAATCTGTGTTCGGAAGAAACACAATCTTGAAGAATCTTGACGAAATTCTCGATGAAATTCAAGTAAGAAAGAAAACCACCCAGGATATCGTTGATACCTTGGCGAGTGTCATGGTCTGGTCGACTTTTATGGGGAAGCCAACTATCTCGGAAACCTGTTCCCAATGACGACTCTTCATCGACGGGTTTCCCAGTGTAGATATTATAGGCATATGCTCCTTGAACTCTTCGATGCGTATTCGCACCGTTTCAGCGAGTTTCCTTCCAATCGGCTCTTGAATGGATTTCTCCAGTTTAAAAATCGTCCGATAAACGACTCCTGTGGCCGTGTCAATTTCCTCCGGATCATGAGAACCCACCATCGAATTCATCCATGTATCGTAATTGGTTAGAAAATCGCAAGCGGCGTCGTATAGTTTCTTATAGGGCATTAATTTGTCCGCGACCTAGAATCAGAATTCAACTGGAACAGAATTCGGGTAGTTTTTAAGCTCCGAGACAACCTATGTACCTTCTTCCGTAACGGGTATTGCGACAACTCCCAGCCAAATAATTCTTCTTCTTCGTTGAATCGGTCGATAATGTTCATCGCGACGATTAATTTATTCTCCAAACGATCCGCTTTCTTCTTGTATCGATAGATTTCCTCTACGTTCCCCCAGTACTGCAATTCGTTGCAATGTTTCTCGTAAGTCTGGAGCTCCCGTTCGAATTGCTCGATTCTTTTCCTTAGGATTTTCTGATATTCCCCAGTCTTGCTCGCTACTATTTCTCTGTGCTGCTCGAACACGTCCGGAAGTTTGTGATACCTTACGACGTACACTCGGTCACGATGGAAATATCGATGATAGACGTTACGTTACGATAGGTGCAGCTCTCGTTATACGCACCATTGAAAAGGAAAGTTGTTGGTTTTCAGTTCGACGGGACTCAAGATCGAATAATCCGATAGGAAATTGATATACTTAATGATTTCTTGCAACCGAGTTTTCAATCGAATCGCGGTTTCCGCCTCTGAGACGTTAATAAATTCCCGAAGTTGCATCAATTCCACCGTATTCGCTGGTACGCTGAGCGCTCGGTCCACGATATGTTGATACGCTTCGCCTATACTGAGAATATAGGTGTATGTACGTATCGGAGCATAATTTCCAATAAGTCACTTACGCTCGAGATTTCTGCTGGTAATCGGCGGTCATCTTAGTTACTAATTCTTCTTTGTATCTCCGAGCTACCGAAGCAATGTGATCTATAAGCTGCCCCCTATGAACCACGAAATATTTACTGAAACCAGTTCTATCGAATTCTACCGGTATACGTCGAGACAGGTGATCGTAATGTACAATCAGATCCCGAAAACGTTGAAAATCTTGGATCGTGTCGTCGGCAGCCAATAGATCTCGAACCTTCTCGTTATCGGTGTCGTTCGTTAAACTCGTATATTTTTCAAATTCCTGTACTTGCGATTCCGCGCCAGTTTTTCCCGCATCGATCAGCCGCACGATCTTCCGTCTACACTGTTCCATGTATTCTTCGGATATATATGGCTGCAAATGCGACGACGAGTGAAACAACCACGGAAAAAGATCAACCGCTTAACCGAACGAAGAACGGATCGAATACCTCGAGTACTCTTCGAGAAAAGTTCCTGTTCTGTCCTGTTCCTGTTCTGTCCATTCTCAGCAGTGTTTCGACACGCGGCAACATGTTAATTACTTCTCGTAGTTCAGTGAACAACGTCGACAATGCTTCCGCGTACACTTTGAACGTTGGCTCGAACGTCACTACCGCGTTCCTTATTGTCAGCTTTATATCGAACCCGTGATACGTGCTCTACATCGAACGATAGATTTCAGATATTTTTCACGTCGATTGGCAAAGTTGTCGATTAAAAAGACGATTGCAGTACACTTACACCCGCCTTGGAAATATAATCGACGTACTCTTCCATCGATCGTAGGCAAAGCTTCCGCAGCTGATCTTCCATGATGAAAGCAACGCAACTAAAGAATCTCTTAAACCTGGAAACGTCGCTTTCCAACGGTAACTCGTCTCTTTCGTAAGCCTAGGTATATATTTTAATCTTTCAAATATGGGAAAAAGGATAAATACTTTATCGTTTCGATTCGTACCGTGGACAGTATCGCTTGAATTTTCGGTATCCAGCGTTTCACGAGATCTTCCCTCGTCTTGTGACACATTTTTAGAATAGCCTCTTCAAAGGTAGCAAGATCGTACGATGTACCGTATGCCAGCAGTTCACTTTCATTTATCAACTTTCTATGGCTGTCGGGTTATTACTGACCGTTATTTTTTTATACGCGCACAGATTGGAATTCTACAATGGGGAGCGCACAAACCTGAACTCTCGATACCAGTAATCGACGATTCGTCGTATAGCAGGGCAATAGAGGATAATGATTTTCTGGAGTCTCGATTTGTTCGACTGATAATTGAACGGATAACGTTCTTCGGCTTCTCGATGTGCTTCGACATCCTCGTTTGTCTTGCACAAAGTGAACTGAGGATTAGATGTATTCTTAGAAGAATTCTTAAAAGGGATAAACACCGGCATGAACGGCTAGCAGCTGGCGAGATTAGATGAAAGAAATGAAAATGTATATAGAGGAACCTTATTCGATAACGAAGCATCCGACGAACGGCCAATTACGAATTCCACCACTGCCCTCTTCACATCCAACACGTATTCCTCTTTTACTTCCTCTATTAAGCAAGACAAGGAGTTTCGAAATTTGTTTCGCCACTTGATAGGCACCATGTCCAAAATGTGTGCCAAAAGATCAGGATCCATTGATCCCACGTACACGTCCTTAATTCCATGAGTGACATAGTAATAGTAACGTAAAAGATCTTTATCCGTGTCTGTAATGAAATTGTCAGTTTGCTCCTCTGTTCCCCTTGCTTTTAATTCGGACAAGTTCGTTCCATGGGGCAATTTCTCGTCTACTTTCTTCTGGCTTTTCCGCAGAACTTCAACGAGTTTCGCACGAAAACGTTCTCTTTTCTCGCAAAGTATAAGATACTTCTTCATGCTGAAAAGCTAATTTTCTTTCTCTTATTATATTCGCATGATAAAACTCTTTTAAAAACTGTTCATCTTACTATTCTAAAGTACACTAATTAATCTTTCGAAACGCTATTATCGCAATCGCAGAATTTTCAAAGATCCTATTGTAAACCGAGTTGGTGATTTTCCCAACCAAGTTGCTGTACAGTCGGATGCTTTTTCGATACTCGTCGAGTAATCAGTGTCGAGTGTAACTTTCCATGACAACCACGTTGTATACAAGTGTTTGTGTACTTATGTATATATATGTAAACCAAGGCTTGTACAAAGATTACTCTTTTTCTTTCAGTGTGTGTTTTCATACAAAAACCAACGTAATAAATCACCGTGAAACGCAATACACTAACAATTAGCTTTTATTAAGTTCATCGTCGTCCTTGTACATTAAAAATCTATGTAAATACGTATAAACGCAAGAAAACAACATATACGTATGTATATATGCTCGATTGTATGCGTTTACATTTTTCTATAGTTACGAATAGATGGACGTGCTACCGATACCACCTATATACACCCGCACAGATAACACTATATAGTTTCCAGTTATACACATATACACACAAAAATACACAATTGATCTATCCTATTACCTTACGAACTCTCTCTCCTTTGTTTACGTACATACATACATAATGATAGTAATAATAATAATAATAATGGTAGTAGTAGTAATAGTAGAAGTAGTACACGCACAGAGTGATCCGTTTGGTCGATAAATGCAGAAAGAAATTGATCGATAGGTTCAGAAATAGGATTCATTGATTGTTTCGCAGTTTGATAATCGTTAAATGCTTAATATTAGTACGATGAAAATACTTTAAAATAGAATAGATTTTCTTTGATTGTCGTTCAATCGATTTCTTTGCTTCTTGTTCCCACTTGTCTAATCCTTATATACGATCAATTGAAATAACAGTTATTTTTATTAGTTTTGTCGGCGGGTCTGTTGTGCACACATACTCGCGTACACGTAATACACGACTGTTTCCACACTTTTCTCCCGACAGCAGAGACAAATGTAATATGTATACATACTCTATACAAATTTATGCGATAATTATGAAATTTATATCGTTCCCTCGAATAATAAAGAAAATAACTTACAGTCCATCTCGATAACCTTTGAAATTTCACTAATAACTAATGTGTCCAGGCATTCGAAACAGAAGCCAGACATGACTGCAAATTTGGACATTCTCTTAACGATATAAACTGTATTTGCCTTATCGTACAGGTATTTCTGATAC